TTTCTGCAGACTCACCAGTCTCTGGAGTCTTCCATTCTGCAGTCTGACATCTTCCCAGAAGTCGGGGTAGTCCCCAAAGCAACCCATCCCCAAATCTGTGAGGAGGAATTTAGGAGAGTGCCACACCCTCAGAATGGCTGCCTTTAGCAGCAAACCCAAGGAGCAAGTTGCAATTGCTAATGACTTACCGTGCTCTCAGATAATTTGTTCAGGAGGTTTGCCCCCCTGCCCTGGGCATGCTCCACCCCTGGAGGCACAGGCGGGATGCAGAGGTCTCCATGTCCAAAGGAGAAGGTAGTAGCAGAAAGTCTAAGCCCAGTCACCTGGACTCAGCTGCCCTAGGGAGAGGGAAGGGGCTGCCTCTCTTATCCCCTGACTGCCTTGAGTTCCTCGCCCTGGCTTTCCTGCCCACAAGCACCTCAGCCTCAGTTTTCCTGGGAGCTTCCATGGAAAGAAGGGGACAGGCAGGTTTGCCCTGGGTCCTGTAAGTGATGTGCTGTCCCCTACCCTGGCTAGGAGTGAGTCCACCGACTTGAGCATGCAAGTCTGTACTGGACACCACTAGGTGCATTTCTAGCCTGTGTATGAACATGTGCCAGAACCTTCTACACAGGCAGTGCCTGTGTATATCAATCTATTTATGTTTGTACATAACATGTGCACACACATACAACATGGGTGTGTACATGCTTGTGCACTTGTAAGTGTGGAAGCATGGGAAGGTGTGCACTGTGCCTGCAGGTGCATTGACACTACTCAGTGGGTGGCACACTGAGAAGAGCCCTGAACTGCCAGGAAATCTGAGGACCTGGCTTCTCATTTGTTGTGTGCTTTTGAATGAGGCTCTTACCCTCTTGGAATTTTCCCCCCTGCCTGTAAAATGAAATCCTTTTATTTGAGAATCCCTGAGGATCCCTTCAACACTGGGACTACATTAAAAGACTGGCCTGAAGCTTTAGAGGAGGGGTGGAGACTGGCAGAGTCAACTTAAGAGTAATGATCTCACCTGAGTGTACCCACTTTGGGAGAGGAGATCTGAGATCTCTGATGAGAGCAAGGAGGGATAGAATCCCAGATGGGGAGAGAGGAGGTGAACAGAGTCCTCAATTTGACACACTCTGATGTCCAGATTAAATGAGTCTAGGGGATGAGGTGAAACTATAGGAGGACTGCTGGATAGCTTTGCTGCCTTTCTCTGCCCCCTTCCTGTGTGTCCATGGTGAAAACAGGGGCAGAGTAGCCTGCCTATATTGTCAGAAGAGTGTTTTGTTTTTTTTGTTTTGTTTTGTTTTTGTTTTTTTTAACACATAAAGGAAAAGATAGGCTGGCCAGTGGAGAAATTAATGGCCACCCAAGGGAAGCCACAGCAGAGACCTTCATGCAGGGTGAAGAGTCTGGCTAGGTCCTCTCTAGTCACTGGCCTTGGCCTCTATACCCTCTAGGAGTCAGCTAAAGCTCACCTCTGACCCTGTAATTGGCCTTTTATGACATTTAAAAAAAGAAAAACTGAGAGTAGAGGGGGATGGAGGTCATCCTGGGTCATATTGGCCTTTGCAGGTGGTATCATCTCTGGAAACTCTCCCACAGGTGACAGATGGACTGTGGGGACCAAAGGGAGCAGGCTATGAGGCCATACCTTATGGCATCACGCCAGTCCCAATGAGGGGTCTTAAAACCTGTGCACACACATACACACTCTCAAACGCCAGGCAGTCACTGCTGGAACCCACACGTCCAGAGCACACATTTCTGCCTTTCAAGCCTCTGTGTTCAATATCACCCCATACACATGTCCACATGTGGTACAGCCATGGACATGTAAGCACACAGGGACACACGAAGCAGTCCCCCACACCCAGATACCAAAATACCCTTCCTTCCTCATTTTCCTCCCTCCTTCCTCCGTCCACACCCACGGCCTTCTTCCCTGACTGTTCTGAGAGAAAGGGAGACTCCAGTGAGAAAACAGAGACCTTTGCCCTCAGAAAGAGCCAAGGATCAATACTGTTTAGATTTGGCTAGCATGTATTTCCTCTCAGGCTAAGGAAGATTTAAGTTTATGGTTCAATCCAATCTTTACCAAGACCAAAAAAAAAAAAGAAAAAGAAAAAAAAAGAAAGAAAGAAAAGGAAGGGCAGAAAATGAGGAAGTTGGGATGGCCCGCTCAAGTATTTATTTCGATGCAGCCTCAGACTTTAATACACAGGCGGCTCACTAAGCCAACCCCATAAATCAGAGAAATCAATGCCCGTTTATGATCATTATTACTTTTTCTTTCCTTTTTTTTAAGAGGAGGGTGTAAGAAAAAAACCTGAACAGAGCCCTCCTCCTCTCCTGCCCCAAACAGAAAGAAGGAAATTGGGAAGGAGGGGAGGGAGGGAAGATAGGGACGACTTCAAGGCCTTGGCTAGATTCTTAAGGGAGATGCGACAAAAAGGCAGCCAGCTGCCCAGGGGCAGGGACAAGATGTTTAAGTTTTCAGAGCTTCAGTTTCTTCCATGAAACAATAAAGAAAATTCTATTTGTTCACAGTGATTGGAAGGTAAAAAAGAGATAATGGGCAAGAAATCAATTTATATAATAATGACACAACTCTACACTTATACAATCATGGGGGGGTGGGTAGACACATCCTCCCTTCCCACTGAGACCCTTTGGGAGGAGTTGTAGAGGAGCAGGTTGCTTTTGGATTTTTAGCTCCTGCTGGCCTCTGTCCTAGCCTTTGGGTTTTGTGTGTATGTGTGTGTATTGGGGAGGAGAGGGGGGCTGGGTAGCCTAAGGGGCCACATGGAAAGGGAGAGGGAGGGTAGCACAGTTCCCAGGCTCTCCCAAGGATTAGGGTCTCTGTAGAGCTGAGTGCTCCCAACATCACATCCAGATGTACTTGGGGAGATGGGGCTGGACACTGCTCCAAGTTCTAGGTGGTCTCAATTAGGGGAAGAGGACCCTGAGCCCCAGAATAGAGACTACCTAAGGGAAAGGCCTAAAAGGCTTGCAGATTCCAAGGTCCACTCTCCAAGGGAAGAAAGCTTGTGATCAGAAACCTCACCTGGGCAAATCCCAGAGAAGGGCCTACCTCACTCTTCCTATTCTGCATGTGAAGATTAGTTGAGCACCTATTTTGTGCAGGGGCTACTCCACAACTTCAAAAAAACAACGTGGGGATGGAAGGAAGGGACCTACTGCAATGAAGCGGGGAACCCATAGCAATAAGCCACAGAACCCCAAGTCCCCAAACCCTTGAGCAGAGGCTTGGAGGGACCCGTGGTTTCCTGGGCTTGATGTCTAGTTCTGTCACTTCTCAAGCCAGGAGTGAATGAGATATTGGGACAAATCAACCAAATTTTTCTTGGAATTTCCAAGAAAAAAGGTAGAATGACTGGCCATTCTCATTTTTCACAGAATCAGTCTTGCGAAAACAGCAGAAAAGAAACCTAAAGGGAGAGCAGAGAGAGAGAGAGTTCCCATACATGCACAAACCCTGCAAACATTCCAGCATGCGAACACAAACGAGCACATGTACACACGCAGGGAACTCACAAACATCCAATTGTGCATCTAAATACAGAGAAATGGGCACCTGGTTGCACAATACTCACACACACAGGAATGCACAGACACTGGTAGGAACTGAGATGCACCAGTGCTGCACATTATCACATATGCACACGAGCATGTCTGGACATCTATCTACTCACACAGGCATATAGATACACACATGCATATTGCAGACATGAGAGAAAAGTGGGACTTGTGGGGAGCAGAATTTAGAATTTAAAAAATCTTAGCTTTTGGGCTTTGTAGGGGTGGGAGGGGGGAGTTTGGTCACCTAAGGGGCTACATGGGAAGGAGAGGGAGGGTAGCCCAGACAAAGGGGAGACGATAAGTCCTCCTCAGGTCCTTTCCTCCCCCAAGCCCCTCAAGGTCTGCAACTCAGCACCCATCCTGGAAAGGCTGGCCCCAGTGTCTCACATCTCCTAAGAGTTAAGATAATGACCTCTGGGATGTCTGAGTGTCCTGAGGGTCAGGGGAGGGGGTGAAGGGTGCGGGGGTGGTTGTGTGTGCCTCTCTTGTTGAGGAAGCAGGCCAGGCTTTGTTGGGATGCCAAAGGGAATTATTCTTAAATTTAAGGTCAAGAAGATACAGGCCAACGTCCACTTAAGATTTAAGGCCAAGAGCGATACCAGTAGTGGACCTAGCTGCAGCCACTCTGCACAGCTTTCCAAACATTGGAGGCTCCTCTGCCCTGGATTTGCAGAACCATGGGATCCGAACCCCTGGAGGTTCTGTGTGCCACCCCTGATCTGCCCCGTGGTCAATGGAATCATCATTTCATCCCACCCCCAAAAGAAAATTGGTGAAGTCCAGGCAGTGAGAGGCCAGACCAAAGCATTCCTCTCCTAAGCCGACCACTCAGAGCAGGAGGCAGCCCCCACCTCTGCCCCTTCCTGCCAGACTCTGAGCCTCTGGAGGAGAAAAAACGCTAACAAAATCCACACCAAGGGAGGGAAAAAAATAAAGAAAGGAAAAGGAAAAAGAAAGGTGCAGGCTAGAGCACACAGCAAGTTGACCAGGAGGCCGGCAGTCTGGCTTGACCTCCCCAGGCGCTGGGAGCAGCCGGGCAGCCCGGGCTGTGTTGTGGAAGCCAGGACTGGGGTTCGGGTCTTTGGGTTCCTTTGAACACAATCGAGTTCATGTCCCACCAAACCCTCCAGGCTCAGGCCAAAACCGAATCTGGGCCTGCCCTGGCGCCGCGCTCCCGGTGGCCCCTTCGGCCCAAGGATTCGTTGTGCGGTAAACGTCAGGCCTGGTGCAGACGCCTGGAGTCCCGCCGGTGTGCGTGTGGAGTGCGCAGGGACGCCAGGGCGCTGTGCTCCTCGGCCCAAACCCTTCCCGAGCTGGTAAAGAGGAGGGCCGCCAGCGGCTCGTCAGCACAGTGTACACTTTATTTCAGACTACAGGTTTCTGAACATAATAAAATCTTTGGCTTGTAGCGGCGGTTCAGTCTCGCAGTCTGTGGGGTCGTATTTCTCAACAAGTCTCCGGAAAACGAAAGGGGTACGGGACAGACAGATCGACAGAAGGGTCTCAGGAGGTGGGGGAGAGGCGATGGGCAGACACGCGAGGAAACACACTATCACGCACACAAAGAAAAATCCCAGAGAAACAAGGGCCAGCGATGCGGGGCGGGAGGCACCGGAGAAGCAGTTAACATTCAAAAGAAAAAGGCAACGAAAACGAAACTGGGCTGGGGTAGAGAGTTGGAGGGGCGATAAAATAATTATAATAATTATAATAATTATAACAATAATAATAAAGGAGATTAATAAAAATGTCCAGCAAATAGAGTTCGCTACACATATTTGTTTTCCTTACCTGAAATTAAATATATACAAAGTCGTAAGCGGTTTGGCTAGATAGAGCTTTAAGGAGTTCGCAGTTTCGTCCCTTATACTGTGAATAGAGAATAGATCTTATTTTTCGATAGCACCTGTCCGAGTCTCCCCTTTCAAAAGCATTTTGTTTAAACGTAACTGTCCATTCTGAGGATCTCTTTCTTCCTCTTTTTTTCCCTGTTGCTCCCTTCCTCCGTTCGCGCTGATTATTTCTCCCCGGTGTGGGGCCGGCGAGGACGTGGGGACGGTGCCAGGAGGGGGCGCGGGCGCTGCGGCCGGACCGCTTGGCCCGGCCCGCGGCAGCTACTCGCTCTCGTCTTTGTCCTGGACCGTGGTGGTGGAGTGGTTGTACAGTCCTTGGGCCATGAGGTGCAGGGCCAGCCCGTTCTTAATGCCTGTGGCTTTCTTGATCTTGGCGCGCTTGTTCTGGAACCAGATCTTGATCTGGGACTCGTTGAGGCTGAGCTCCTGGGCCAGGGTCTGCCACCGCTGCTCGGTGATGTAGCGGTTCGCCTGGAACTCCGCCTTGAGTCTCTGCAGCTGCTCCGCGGTGAACGCCGAGCCGTGAGAATTGAAGCGCCGAGACCGATCGCGCCCCGCGCTTCCGGGGCGACTGCAGTGGCCCTGCTGAGCCCTAGAAAAAAGTGCCCCTCGCTGGGCCACTGGGTTTTTCGGGTTCACTTCTGGGGCTTAGGGTAAAGGAGCCGAGGAGAAAGCTTGATCAAGGTTGTAGGTGCACATCTCACTCCAATTTAGGACAGGAGAGCAGAGGACAGGCAAAAAGCACTTCCTGGCCAAGAAGGCGGGATCCAAGATGGAGCAGTATTTGGAGCTTTATTTGGCCCAGTCCAGATTTTGGAGATGGGGAGCCTGCTGTCCTGACAGCCCTGGGATTAAAAAAGACCCCGACAGTGAGAGCAGGCCTTGGGGAAATGGCCTGCCTGCACCCTAATCCTTCCTTTCTCTTCAAGAAGCTCCTATACCAGGCACCTGGCACCTACGATAAGACTAGGGCTGAACAAGGGGTCAAGGAAAGAGCTGTAAAAAAGGTTGCCAGTCCTGAAGTAATGGGTGTCTGCCCCATCCAACCCTTATTTTCTTCGGTCTAAACGAACCCCTGTCTAGGGTATCAGGGACACACTGACTATCCCCTTCTCTGAAGCAGAAGGAAAGACCAGCACCCTGCCGCAGATCTACACTGCCCCTCCATGACCCTGATCCCTGGGTTCTGTTTCAACCTTGGATGGTTACAGTAAGAAAGAGAAGGGCCATCCAGTTCCTGCCTCCATTCAGTCGCCTCAGGTCTCAGGTCTCCTATCTCCCGCTTTGAATGTGCTGCAATTTCAGGACTGAAAATTCTGAATAACAAAAAGCCAGATCTCTGCCCACCGATGGCATTTGCAAGGAGACTATATCTCTTGCCCCCATCCAGGAGCAAAATAGCAGAAGGATGAAGCCAGAGGGACAATCACAAGAAAATTCTGTGCTTTGATCCCCAGATAGGTATGGGAAGAGCCCTTAGAAACCTCTCCAGGAAGATGAAGTCTCCCTCAAATACTAGTCTGGGAGGAGGGTTGCCATGGGGCTCAGGCCAGGAGAGAGGAAGAAAAGAAGGGGCAGACCAGGAGAGATTTCAACTGTTGGTCTCTGTCTGGAAACACTACACCTCTGTCCATCGGTTTCCACACCCAAGTCTTCCCACATGTACTTGTTGGGCCCTGTCTTGGTTATGGGCAGTTATTGAACCAAGTTATGTATCTGTCAGGCCTACTAATTTCCAAAACCTTCTAGAAAGATGAGTCTTTGTTGGAATCTCCAAGTCTAGCGACAGAGAGGCAAGCTGAGCAACTGGCTCCTGGGGCTGGCCAGGGAGTGGGATCATCAACTGCCCTATGACAAAGAATTCCAGGCCTAGCAGACTGCAGGGACCTGGGTCTGGGTTGAGGCTTATTCCCGGAACAGCTCACACAGGAGAAGGAGTCGATCTCCTACCTCCCCAGGCCTATAAGAAGAAAGCTGAAGAACAAAGACAAGGCCCATTCCAGGGCAGTGTACAGAGACTACCGGGGTGTAGCTTATTAATTAGCTGAGCGGGCAGAGATGGCCTAGGAAATGTGCACATCCCACTGCATGTTGTGAAAGAACATGTTGTTGTGTGTGTGCAGAGGCACGGACACTTGTAATAAAATCGTAGACTCCCGGCCAGCCTGAGCCGCACAGCCTGACAGCTCAATCACTCTATCCATCAGGCGAGTCAATCAAAGCAGCTTTTCGGAGGTTCAGGGAGCCCGATGTGTCAATAACGGGGCTCGAGATGGCGGGGGCTGATAGCAAGCATCGATCTGCTCAGGGCCGGCAGGACAGTGGTGGGCTGCGAAAGCCCAGCCACAGGAGAGCCTCAAGTGACTACACTGTTCCCCAGGTCCCTGTCAGACCCAGTTGTCCAGAGCCTTGGTTGTAGGCCAGAGACCTTACCGACCTCCTGACAGTCCCACTGGCCTCCCAGGCACTGCCGACCAGGCATCATGGGACAGGCCTCCGCTTCCTCTCCCAGGCATCATCGGACAGGCCTCGGCTTCCTCTCATAGGGCCCAGCGGCTGTCCCAGGGCAGGTCTTCACCTCTGGTTCCGCAAAGTGCAAGAGGCACAAGAAAGAAGGGTGGAAAGAAAATCTGGAGAAACTCGCCTGCAGCTGGCAGAAATCTACTAATCAGCAGATGTTCGGAAGAAAGGATTTAAAAAAGAGAGCGCAGGGCCAGGAGGATGTGGGAGCCATGGCAGAGAAGCTGCTGAGGAGGCAGGCTTTCTTGCCCTTGGCCTGGCTTTCTAGCCTAAGCCTGACCTGTATTCTCTCCTCTTCCACTGTCTGCAGCTCCAGGGAAGCAGATATCTCAGCACCTTCCTTTCTGACAACTGTCTTTCCCTGGATTCTACCCATCCGGGTCAGACTCTGCATGACTGGGCAAGGGAAAGGGACCTAGAGGGTGTTCAGAAGCTTCTCTCTCTCCTGCTGCGGGTCGCAAGTTGCTGTCTATGTAAATATACTCTCCAAGAAAATATTGAGATGGTGGTGATTGTAAGAATACACTGCAAAGATTATTTCTCTGGTTAAAGCTGGTCTCCACAGGACCAGGGTAGTGGGATTTCAGACCCAGATCACTATGCCCACTTTCTGGCACGCTCTAAACATTCCTTTCTCTGGCAGGGAAAAAAAAATCAATTACAGATTGTGTATCTTTTCTAAGAATAATCAAGATAAAGCACAAAGAAAGCCCGAGAAGCTCAGAGTCTAAAACCAAAGGATCCAGACTCCAGCCTCCCCTGCCATGAGCTGTAGCCTCTCAGGTGGTGGCTGCTGAGGCCAGAGTCGCAGAACTGGTCGTTGTTGCACGTTCAGTTGTGATTCGAACCCGGGATGGAGAGGAGCAGGAATCAGGCGTGAAAAAGAAGAGCGCCTGAGGCCGGGTTGGCTCTCTTCAGAGCAGCGGTTTGAAGTTCTGGGGGGATCCAAAGGGACGGAAGGCATGGTGAAGCCCAGAGCTGGGTACTCACCAGAGGATGGACGATCCGAGTAGCGAGTGCAGTAGACCCAGGCGGGCCATACGAGTGGCTGCTGCGAGTCAGTTTTGA